TTAACTGGGGTTTGCTCGGGGCTGGTGGGACAGCTTGTGGGGTGTGCTCTGTCTGCAACCCCCCTGGAGCAGCCCTGGCATGTTACTCACATCCACCTGCAAACAGCAGCCTTCTGAGCTAACTGCTGCATTCTTGGTGCTCGCAGCAAGATCTGTTCTGCCCGCTGTGCTAGGAGGCTGCAGCTTGGTGGCCTGAGCCTGAGAATTTGATTTGGTTTTAAGTCAGGTGAATATGGTTTGACTTGGTTTCAAATCAGGTAAGGAGCAAAGAGAGTTATTTGTAAGCGCACGCAAACCAGGACAGAAGTGGCACGGAGCAGTGTTGCAGAGAGGCCTGAGGTGTGGAGTACAAAGTGTTCCTGGGCTGTAGGTGTGGGCAGTGAAAAGGTCGGTGCTCTGCTCCTGCTCTCTGGCACGGTGCTTTCTATATATGAAGCAGCTGGCAGGGAGAGAGCTGGGTGCGGGGTGCCTCTGGTTTGATTCAGATGTGTATACGTGCTTTACTACAGCCTTGCGTTTAGTAAAGAACAGTTTTGCAATCACGTGAGCTTAGCAGACTGCTTAAGAACAATAACCAACAATAACTATGTGTATTGTAGGCAAAACTCAGTGGGTACAGGGCAAGCAAGCTGCGCAGCTGTGAGGGTGCTGCTGGCAGGCTTTGCTCCCTTTAGGACCGTGTGGGCAGCAGGACCCAGCACCGCTTACATTTCATTGCAGTTTAATAGGCAGCCAGAAAATACTACGTCCTGCTGTAAAGGAGGAGGTATTTGCTTTTGGGAGGCTTTAGAAGAGAGGAACTGGAAAATGAAATTAACGAACAGAAAGCAATAACACAAGCCAATATTCACCGAAGCGTCATTTACCTCTCCTTTATCAGGGCTCATTTTACACATGCATTAGGTGTTACGAGAGCTGGTGTGTCACTGGTGGTTAATACCAGAGGGCCTATAAAAGCCTTTAGGGCACATTTGCTTGTTTTTTTTATCTTTTCTCCCTGATGTCACGTTTGTGCCGGAAATTCAGTCTTGTAGTGTAAAGAATGAAATCTCAGGCATTTTGGTGACAAGCCTCCTCTTGGAGGCTGCCTAGGGTTAAAGAGTAGATAGCTGCTGTGCACACTGGAGCTAGCAGGGAAAAGAACATCAGCTGTTTTCAACATAGTGTTTTTAAATGTAATTTGAACAGAGCCAAAAAAAAAAATAGAGGAATGGAGTAAACTGGATCATGCATACAAATGAAGCTATTTAAGTTTTTCTTGCTGAGATCCAGATGTGTTTTCTGCTCACAGCACGATTCATGTACTGACCAATGACACTGAGCTGAGGCTTTCAGTGCTTCTCTTGGAAGCCCACAAAACGATGACATCACGTTGCAATTAGCAGGCAATTTAAAGGCATTTAAACAATTATATCACATTTTCAGCCCCGCTAATTGGCACCACAGCTGTTTTCTTTGCCTCCTTTTTTGGAACAGCAGCCACAGGGCATTAACTCATGGGGAAAAACAGTAAAGGATTAAAAAAGAGTGCAGACACCTGTGGTTCTGAGAAGAGCCAAGCTGTAAGGGTCTGTGCTAAGAGTGTTGCAAGACAGCTATGTTTAGTACAGAGCTAAGGGGAGGGAGGCATGATGAAATACCATTACTGTGATCTCAGTTGGCAGGTCACTAACTGGGGAGGGTCTTGTCAGCAAAAAATAGCAATAAATGCATTAATGCTAGTCCGTTCCCTCCTGATGTCTTTGGACAGGACTATTCTTAGACAGCACGTTAGTTTGTTGTTACACTTGCGTAGTACGTATTTAAATGTCAGGGTCGCAGCCAAGGAAATATAAAGATAGGACAGTGGGTTCAGTCTTCTGTATGAGGGTGGAGCACAGCATGTCCATAGATAGACGTCATGGCCATCCTAGAACGCTATTGTTTTTCCAGTTGTAATCATCTGAATGTTTACTGGCAGAGGTGCATAGTATTTCCTATCAAAGTCACACATGTTGACAGAATACTTGGTTTGCCAAGTTTGTCGGAGTCCTCGCCACTCTCTGTGGACCACGTCTTACCAATTCATAGAATCCTAGAATGGCCTGGGTTGAAAAGGACCACGGTGCTCATCTGGTTCCAACCCCCTGCTGTGTGCAGGTCGCCAGCCAGGCTGCCCAGAGCCACATCCAGCCTGGCCTTGAATGCCTGCAGGGATGCGGCATCCACAGCCTCCTCGGGCAACCTGTGCCAGTGCCTCACCACCCTCTGTGTGGAAAGCTTCTTCCTAATATCTAACCTAAACCCCCCTGTCTTAGTTTAAAACCATTTCTTCTTGTCCTGTCACTACTTACCTGTCTTCGTTCTTTTCCTTCCCCATCTTTTTGGAATAGACAAAGAGCTTCCCTGAATTGAAAGAAATGGGAGGTTGGAGGGTGAAGAGATGTCAGTCCATCCTTTGCAGTGGAATATCTTGTACCCATCAATAGGATGCAGTAGGAGTCTCTGACAAGCTGAGAGGACGTTTTTTATCCATTTATGCAATACATTCTGAGTTGTAGCCTGACCTTGCCACTAATGTCAGTAAATCTGCCACACAAAGGGAAGTGAGAGGGATCGGAGATGATAAGGCACAATTGCTCCTTGTTCCAAGGACTGTTCCAGTTGTCCCAAAGGGGCCTCTTGCAGAACACTGCCAAGTTACAACCCTGCTGCACAGTCTGCTCAGATGTGTATTGCTCATCTCTGCTCTTGTCTCTTTAAAATGATTAGTTCCTGGTCAGGTGTTTCCTGTTCTCTCTTATTATCATCTGTCTCACTGTGGTAGTGCCAGCCATGCAACCACTCCCTGATGCCGGTTCTTTTATTCCTTGGTTATTACTTGTGAACCTTGGCTGTTGTCCTGGCTGAGTACGTTTGTCTCAAATACACCGTGGCACCATGGGAATGTAAGTACCCTATTTCTTAGAGGGATTGGCCAACTGTCAGCGTCCCCTACAACGCACACAGGGGAGCACTGAAGCTCCCAGCCTGACTGAGCCTAGATCTCTGCCACTGGAGCTGCCCAGGCACAGCACTCCCTGAGAGCACATTGGCTTTCTGGTTGGCATCATCCAGGTGTCTTCTTGCCATGTTCAGCTCCTCTCCCTCCCTCCTCAGATTCCTGTCTCCCTACACATCTCATTGTCTCTCTCCGGCCACTAATTTGGTCTTTTGCAAGCCACCATTCCCTGGTTCCTGACCATCACCTGGTCTTCCAGCATCACTTCTCTTGAGATCTTCACGGTTCTTGATCAATTTCTTCCCTTTTGAGTTTGGACTTGATGATCTTGAGGTTGGACTTGATGACCTTGAAGGTCTTTTCCAGCCAAAGCAATTCTATGATTCTATGATGTTTCCCCGGGCACTGGCAGGGGCTCACTAAGGCCACAGGCAAGTTCCTCCTCTGCATTCCTTTCCAGCTGCTTGTTTTCCTGGGGAAAAAATGTGCAAGGAGGGACTCCTGCTCAGGCTCTGCAGACAGCTGGTGCAGAGGGGCATTGAGCTAACAGAGGTTTTCCTGCTTTTTGTATTTTGCAGCCTGGAGCCTTTTGTTAGAAGGTTATCACTTGGCTAAATACAGATGGATTTGCACGAAAGTGCCAGAAAGTGGTGTCCCTAACTAGGGCTTGTCTACCACGTTTGAACCTCAGACAAAAGGTGCTAGATTTGAATTACAAAATGGCCACGGGAATATTTCCACCAGCAAATTGAGCCCATTTGCAAACACCAAAAAGGGTTTTCCACATTCATTGTGAAGGTTTTCCCTGATGCAGATACTGAGCTTAAACCAAAAGCCTCTCTTTAGAAAGGCTGGTCTTAGTGATGTACTGGCAAAAGGTTTATAAGGCAAAAGCTGACTGTGGTACATCCCATCCTTGTGGTGTGACGATGTGCATCTTCTCTAATTGTACTTTCAGTATAGTTCTTGGTACAGGTTTGTTTCTACAAGAGATTTTCATGAATAAGGCATCTTCTAAAGTGAAGCGTTCTCAGTGTGGTCAGACTTCTTACCCAAGGATGAGGGATTTTTTCCTCACTTGTCTCAAGTTCATCCTTTTTTTTTTAATATCCTGGCTTTTTCTCTCCCTGAACTGGGAGGTAAGGGAAACGCAAGGAAGTTTCTGAAACAAAATGGGAAGCAATGTAATTTTGAAGAACAGATCCGGAAATCTAAAATGTAGCATTTTGGCAGTAGAAAAATAATGTTTCTCTGTTTTGTTTTGGTTTTCTTCCCAAAAACTCCGTTTCCTCAATGAGAAATAAGTCAGTTTTGAGCAGCACAGATTGATGCAGATACAGCCTCTGTGCTGACGGTATCAAAACAAATGAATGTATCTGCTTAGAGGCATTGCCTTAGAACCTCCAGAACTCTCAGTAGTATCTGTTAGCATGTGCAACTCACCCCTGGGAAAGGAACCTGGCAGCCTTCCCAGGGGCAGGCAGGCAGGCAGGCAGGCAGGCACACAGCTTTTTCACATCAGCACGATGTGGGCCATCATTAATATCTTTGCATTTTGGATTCGCTGAGCAAATCTGATGTGTGTGTTTCTCTCCACTAGCTCATTCAGCTCATGCGACTTGTTTCACTCTTGTGACCTCTTATTACCTCTTATTACGTATCCGTCACTCCATTTTTCTTTCCCATTAGAGCGAAATTGGACACAGCCCTCCTCCTGCCTACACCCCTATGTCAGGAGTAAGTATTTCACATTCAACCTTCATTCTTTAGGTTTTCCTCCTTCCTTCACTACCTGTTTTCTGTTTCCCCTCCCTTACTCCTACATAAATGTCTCAAAAACCGACACCGAATGCAGTTTGTGTGTGTGTAAGCCATCCGATAGTCAGGGATCTCTAAGCTCAGCTTGGATTTATCTGTGAGCTCAATGGATCCACAGGCAAAATCACTGCCAGTATTTCTTGGAAGAGCATTTAGGAAACAGGCTTGGATGAATCTGTCCGTTTTTCCTTCCCATTTATAGGTCATGAAGTCGAAATTTCCTTGCACGCCCTTGCTGAGAAGCAGAATGGTAGGTTGAGTTGAACTGTTGAGATGAGATGTTGATGAAGCCCTACGAGCAGCCCCCTGGGAGCAAACCAAGTTCAGAGATGGCAGCGTCCTCTGTCCCCAGCTTCCTCTGCAGAAGGAGATTTCCCTAGCATAAGGTTTAAGGGTTTTGTTCAGAAATCAAAGGAGGTTGCCGCAGTAATAGAGAAGGAGAAAATGTGCTTGCTTGCCTCTTGCAGCTATTTGCAGCCTCCTCATTTGCATAGGAGATAAGTTCTATACCCCATTTCTAGCCTCATTTCCTGCTTCCTCATTGCCCTGCCCGCACTGATGCTCTTCCCAGGGAAGAGACCTGCTCAGCAGCACCGGGAAGGTGGATGCTTTGGTAGTCCTGCAGGACTGGAAATGCAGCAGCCTGAAGGATGGATGAGGCTTCTACTGCCCTGTGAAATGCATCATTGAGCAGCTGTGGCGGGAGAGCCGCAGGCGTGCCTTGTTGTAGAATCTTGCCTCCCTTCGGAGCCTCCTTTCTAAGCTGCCTTCTCTTTCCCAACAGAACCAGTTCGTGTACAGAGATGGCGGCTATGCTGCAGAGCAGGGAGTGCCGATGCCGTACAGAGCTCCTGGCTGCGTCATCCCAGAAGCCCCAGTTGCTCAGGGGGCGACGGCCGAGATCTTTGAAGACACCTGCTGCAACGGCACGCTGCGGAAGCAGGTGGCCACGCTGGCAAAGGAGGACAGCAGCACCCAGAGGTACAGCGCTGATCCCACAGTCTTCATACCGGAGCGGGTGATCCGGGGAGAGCTGGATGAGGACGGCTACATGACGCCAATGCGAGACAAACCCAAAACAGGTAGCAGTTTGTCTTTCCAGAGAAGTTCCCCATGACTGCGTTCTCTGTTTTTCTACATCAGTGCCTTTTCACAAACAGTGGCTTCATCACTAACCCAGCAGGACTGAAACGTTCTGACTTGATTAAAATTTCTTTGCGGGGGGATTCCCTTCTTACTGCTCAGTATTCTGCTTAAGAAAGCTGACTCTGCTTTAATGTCAAGTTTGGTATTTCCCCCTTTATTTTTTGATGCTGGAAGGGAACAAGAGAAAGGAATGACAAAGACAAAACAAAAATAAAAAACCAACAACCCCCCCCCTCCTTCTTATCCAAGAACAAATATTTGTGCTTTTTCCAAGAATCTTTCTTTGCCCAGCCACGGTCTCCACTTTGCTTTGTTTATTGATCTGCTTTATCGTCACAGCATTGTGGTTGGTAAATGTCAGGGTGAACATATCACAGAACCGATGCACACAGTTGGCATTTTACACCCAAGAGAAGTTCAGGATTGAAAGAATGCAGTGTGCTTTGGAGAGACCATCACCGCGACGTGGTGCGTGCCCACGTTAGTGCCAGCTCAGTGTTACGCTTCCCACGTGACCTTCATTCTCTCCTTTCTTTTTAAATAGTGACGGCACTGTTTTGCTGTTAGGGGATGTGTCATGAGTAATTTGCTTTCAAACATCAGCACTATCTTTAAAGAAATTAATTAAAGCAGATGTAAATGCCAAGTAACTACTGGGTTTGCTACGGAATTTGGAAGCCTCTTGCTTCACGGTGGAAACAGAGGGGACTGTGGGACACGTGCACTTGTAACCTAAGGCAGCCAATATCTTTGTTTCTTTTCCCTTCCCATCTTTCTTATCTCCTTCCTAGGTACCTTCAAACCTTTCTGCAACCAAGCCACACCTTTTTGTGGTGTTGAACCACAGCAAATGTTTTGTAGCCACTGTAACCCGTGCCAACTGTTCTAGAGCTAATGTTAAGACTCTCTTGTACCCTTTCCAGGACTCACTTGAATTACTTTTCATAATGCTTCAAGGCCCTTTGTCCTTCAAGGATGGAAGGTTTTTAATCAGGCAGATTGTTCTATTAGAAATGAAGCTGTCTTCAGTTAAGTCTCTCTGCACAAAAACCATCCCCAAGGGCTAACTAAGATTTCTGGGGAGCTTTCTGAATAGAACAGCTGTGGAGCAGAGGGTTTGACTGATACATCCAAGGTTGCACAGTCATCCACAGGGACAGGAGCAGCTCTGTGTGTTCGGCCCTGTAGTTCATGCTCCAGCAGGAAGGCCAGGATCAGATGAGGCATTGGCTGCGGTTCAGCGCGAGCTGCAGTTCAGTTTTCAGCTGTGCAGCCATGAGTCACTGTTTCCCAGGGTCCCAGCTCTTTATTTTAGCCCATACTGCCTGTTTAAGTCCTCTTTTAGCAAGAGAGTGTGTTCAACACATGTGGTGCCTGATATCACCCGGAGTTCTAGGAACGGCTGGGTGGAAGGAGGCACTAGTCTGAGCCTGATGGTAACATAACAAGAGGGCTCGTTATGTGGATGCTCTTCTCTCAATCGTTGTTGATTGATTTTTTTATCTTTCCTTAGATTACCTGAATCCAGTGGAAGAGAACCCATTTGTCTCTCGGCGAAAGAACGGAGATCTGCAAGCTGTGGATAACCCAGAGTATCACAACGCTCCGAACGGGCAGCCCAAAGCAGAGGATGAGTACGTGAATGAGCCATTGTACCTCAACACTTTTGCAAACACCTTGGAAAACGCTGAGTACGTGAAGAACAATTTGCCAGAGAAAGCCAAGAAGGCCTTTGACAACCCAGACTACTGGAATCACAGCCTGCCCCCACGAAGCACTCTCCAGCACCCGGACTACCTGCAAGAGTACAGCACAAAATACTTTTACAAACAGAACGGACGGATCCGGCCCATTGTGGCAGAGAATCCCGAATACCTCTCCGAGTTCTCCCTGAAGCCTGGCACTGTGCTGCCCCCGCCACCCTACAGACACCGGAACACAGTGGTGTAGTAACCGCGGTCTTACAGAAGTGGAAAGGCAACCCCTTCTAGCTGCCTCACTCTTTCTCTTTTCCTCCTTCTCCCTTCCCTACTCCCCTTTTTTCCTCCCACGAGCTTCCTCTTCTTGCCAGTTCACTCATTTTTGCTATTTCCAAGTGAAAGGATGTCTTGGAGTCATTTGCGGATTGGGTTGGGAACCGGAAAAGAAGGAAGGAAGGAAGGAGACGGAGAGGAGGAGTGTACAGCTGGTGTTTCTCGCCTTCCGCAGATCTGAGGGGCAGGTGGTCAGAGAAACCAGACAGTACAGAAAATCCGTGGCAGTGTTGCCTGCTGTCAAGCTAGTCTCAGTGATTCCACCCAGACGCCGTAGGGGAAGCCACAGAGAGGCTGTCTCTCTCAGGAGGAACTGATGAGTCTGTACAGCATTCCTGGAAATCTCAATGCAGTTTCCATTAGGGGGAAAAATGGACAATTTTTATATCATGTGTAATAGCACAGTAATTGAGATTGAGAATCCAGTTTCTTTCTCTAATACTTTCTATCCCAGCAACTGAAAATGGCTAACTTGGCTTTTCATAATCGTTCAGATCTTCATCGTGGCTTTCCCAGAAATGATGATGTGACTCTGAGAGCTGGCGCAGTCCTTGTTCTGAGAGCTACATCATCATTTTGTGCCACTTCCTAACCGCAGAGACTCCAGCTCAGAACTGGTGCTTGACGTGACCATTTTTGTATATGTGCCAACAGGACAAATGTTTTAAACAGAAAAATCCTTTCAGAAATGAGTAACAAAGCCCCCACCCCCCGCGTGTTCTTCTTGAACCGGAAAGGACAGGCCAAGAAATCAAGATTTGTACGTAAAAGGCTCCGTTTTCCTGTTTTATACCTGCCGACCATAGGTACATAAACGCAAATACACTCTTCCCTCTTTTTCTTCTTTGGGATCACGAAGGTGGTTGGGGATGCTGTCAGGCAATGCTGAGGACGAGACGGAGCACTGGAGAGTTCACTGTGGGTCACGGAGTCAGCCCAGCTCTCTGTGGGGTGCTGGCGGGAAGCGTCCTTGAAACTGGAAGAAAGAAAGACACTGGACTGGAGAAAACGCACATAGAAGTTCACTGGAAAGTTAGTTTGCACTTAAGCTCTGATTTTATTTGAACTGTTTTCTGGATTTTGAATGAAGCAATATGGAAGTGACCAGCAAAATACAAAATAATAATTTTAAATTAAAAAAAGTGAATTATATGTAAAGGATGACTGTGGAAATGCCAAAATGAAGCATATCAAGTCTTTGGTAAAATGTCCACCAGTTCGGAGAGGCGTTGCATTGACTGTTTCAGAGAACACAGTGACAGAGCAGCCAGCTCTTACCGCTGCCACGTGAAGGACAGCAGAGCAAGCCCTGGAAGGGATCCAAGGAGGAGAATGCCTTGCTCCGGCGTGCAGCACAGTACGGAATGCTTTTTTCTAACAGGAAGATTACTCTGTCACAGAACACAGTGTACATGATGTTTGCTAAGTCAAAATGCGCATGACTCACAGAGCTTTCAGTCCCAAAATGTAAACAGGTACGAGTTGGCCTCCCTGCACTGGGTTCCGCGTTCATTAGCCTCAGTTTTTAGGTAGAAACCTGCACACCCCTCCTCCTGTTGGGAAGGAACCATCAGCCGCTGTTTAGGACGCGTTAGCAGATGGAGCTGGGAGGGGTGGAGCAGTGCTGCTGATGGCTTGTTCCTGGTGCGCCAACACGTCCTGTGTGAGCATTTGTGTGCCTGGTTCCCGCTGAAAATCTTGAGGTTGCATTAGGTACCTGTAAAGAGGTGTCTGTGTCTCATTAAGGCTTTTAGAAAGGGAGAGTAATACCTGGTGGAGGGCAGTATTTCAGTTTATGCACTTCAGTACTATTAATGTCAAGATCTTTGGGGTAATCTGGCAACAAAACCAGCAACAACCAGTGCTCTGGAAATTGTATCTAGTTCCTCCACCATCCTGCCTATGAACACAGCTTGCAATACTGACTGCAGTCCTGGTGGCTCGGGGGCAGCCTGACAAAAGGTAGGAGGAGTTTTCAGAGCTGGGTGCTTGGTGGTGGAAAGGAAACGTGTGATTGCTGAGCCAGGGACGGTTTTGCCAACAGCCTGCTCCTGTGCCACGTGTGCCCAGCCCTGCTTGAGCCAGCCAAGCTCACCTCCAGCTGCAGGGTGCCGCGTGGGGCTCTTCAGAGCTACTGAAGGGAGATGCTGGGCCAGATGAGAACAGAGCAACTGACCAGCACACCACTGAGGTGAGATGAGTGATTAGGGAGCGTCACATAGCTCAAAGACTGTGTCTCCTTCCGGCACCATCTGTAGCATTCTGATTGTGATGGGAAACAGAAGATGGCACATGCCGTCCTGGGGACCCTGCTCCTGGAAGGTTTGCTGGTGACAGTACCGAAGCATGTAAGCAGCTTAGGTGCTGTAGGCAGATGGAGCAGCGGGGGAAGGGGTGGTCAGTTTATCCCTGAGCAGGTCATACAACAGAGTAACTCCCAATGGAGAAGAACAATGGCTGTACTGCTCGTGCATGAATTCAGAGAGGGGCACATGAAAGCGATGGGGGGAGAGGGACGCACGTCTCCAAAATCAGACAGCTGCTCATGGAAGGTGGAGACCTGTTTGTTCCTCTGGTAATAAAGTAAGTAGGACCGGTGTTAGAAAGAAACAAAATGTAAATAACAGTGTTCTTTAGCATTTCTTACGTAGCTTGAATTATTTATTCACTGTAATCGTTGTTTGTGGGTAAGATGCACTTGGTAGCGTGGAAACGCAGCGTTCCTTGGATGGAGGCAGCCCTTGGGGCAGGCCGTCACCTGGCACTGAGGGCTATCCACACACAAAGTGCATTTTGTCAGCACAAAGCTGTAGGTGAGCATTGGCAGAATTATTTTCTCCATCTCTGATTAATTCTCTGGTTCTACAGTGGTATCTATACGCACCAGCATCAGCTCCCGTGGGTTTTTCATGGGCAGACACCTCTTGGTAGATGTTTTCCTTTTGCTCATGTACAAAAGAAAAGCAGTGCACTGCTTCTCAAGAGCAGATACCTCCATCAGCCTTTGTCTAAGGTAAAAACGCTAAACGAAGGAGAGCAAGAGCTGGTTTTCACCTTCTCTCTTGCAGTGATCATCTTAGGTGTTACCTGCCGAGCTGAGGGCTAGTTCTGACAGAAGTGGAAGCTGCACCTCATTGATTGCTCAAATAAATATTAATTTTGTTTTTGTTTTTTTTTGCAAAATAGCTGAGGAGTTAAACGTGTATGACCGTTTGCTTAGATGCAGTGGAGTATTCACGACTTGTCTTGAGTGCATAGCAGCGATTGGAAGCATCACATGGATGTGCTCCAGGTACCCTAAGCTCAGCTCAGAGATGTTTCTCCTGCTACAGAACAAAAAATGGTTGCACTGACCCTGGATCCCACCACTTGGTGGAAATGCAGTCCAGAGTGCAGGAACCGTATACAATGAGCTCATTTCGTGTGGTCCTCTGGGACAGTGAGGAGGAGCCCCGAAATAGCGCGTGCAGGGCTGCTGTCTAATTGGTGCTGGGGCCCGTGCACGCAGAGGGGATCCAGTGCTTATTGCCAGTCGAGAGCTGGGTGCAAGCTCAGGTAGGTGTTCATCTCTTTTGAAGGCTCTTGAGCTCAAGGGGGACCTGTAGAAAATAGGCTTTAACAAGGACTAAGCAAGCCTCGGGTGATCAGTGACCTCTTGGGCTCTTAAAGACCATCACCTCAGAACAGGCAGCGTCACCCGGAGTTCTCTTCTGCTATTGTTTGTAAGAGATGTTTTGACTTGCAATAATATAAAAAAGACTGTACACCTGCTCATTTCTAGATCTGTCACTTGTAGTGTTTCCATTATTCTGGATTGTAGATCTCTGCTGCTGACAGAACAGCTCATCTGTTGTTACACATGCAGGATTTGGGTTCCAATGCCACTTCCACAAGCCAGGGCTGCACACAGGCAGGGGCTGGAGGGCTGCAGTACTACATTTCCTCACACACAAAGAAGCACGGCTGTCCACGAGGGCAGCCTCAGCTGCTCAGAACATGCCCTCGTTTTTATTTTTGGCCTTTTGCTAAGTGTTATGCAGGTAGAAGTGGCCACCATTAAAGTGGGGTTTTCAAATCAGGAATAAATAACAATGTTCCGTGGTTTGAAGCGACTCTCAAATGCCCAAGAATGAAGGGGGACACGCGAGTCACTTTATTGAAGCACATGGTCACCCTGCACCACTCAGATTTAGTATCTGACGCTGTGAGGGGGCTCGCTGCTGTCACAGAGATGACCGGAAGGTAAGGCTGAAGGTAAGGCATCTCCATTTGTCCCACGGCCAGGGCTGGTATCTGTTCGTAGGCTGGGACAAGGCAGGGGATCCTCTGGGATCTGTGAAGTATGACTGATGGCAGTGGCACTTTCTGAAACACAGAGGAAGGTTGAAGTGGTGAGCCCAGCTGGTGGGGGGAGGTCTGTGCTGAGCTGAGGAGGAAGCTAAGGACATAATCCCTGTTAGGAAGTGTGAATAGTTAGCGCTACTTTATAATTAGAGAGTTTTGAATCTTGGTAAAGAGGAATTTTGTAGATTTGTAAGGCGTTAGGCCGTGTGAATAGATGCATCCCCGTTCCTCTCTCCCCCAGAAAAAAAAAATAAAGCCATGAGATTGTGCTCCGAAAGTGTCATGGATGGAACCACCAGGGCTAAGGTGCACCCTGCTGATGGCAGCACCTCTGTCCCCGTGCCCTGCCTAGGCTGTGAGCCCTCTTAGGGATAAAAACGCCCTATTATGTCCATAGCGCTCCGAAGACTAAACCCTTTTGGGATAACCACAGTAATAAACTGTGAATGGTATTTTATAAATGTAGATACGTACGCCGTTCCTTTGAGGTAAGGTAATACGACATATGTAGCATAAGCTGGTACTGCTGTTAAATGGGTCGATTAATACTGAGCAGCTGTGTAAGGGGTAGCTAACTTTGAATGCACTCAAGGCAGCGTTCCTTTGGAGATGGGGCAGAAGGAAGTTGCTGGGTCCTCGCCTTCTCATGGTGGGGCATACTGAGAATGCAGATGATTGAGAACACGGTTTTTAATAGCATTTCAGCGTTGGAAATGGGTGTGCATTTGTAACATTATTCACAATGGTTTTCACCTTTTGGTTTGGTTTTTCTTCTGCCCAGTTTTTGACATTTCCCCAGCATGGTAAGCTGGAGTTTCTACAGAGGTAGCAACCCTAGGGTAAAGAGGGGAAATGGAGGGGGAAAGCAGTCTCTCGGTAGAAACAGAGATACCCAAAATACGTTTGCTGTCCTTGCAGTCCTCGAATTACGTGTTCTGTAGGGCAAAGCTCACCTTCCCAAACTGGGAGGGCAACGAGACTGGGCCCCAGCTGGGAGGAGTTGCAGGAGCAGCACCACTCCTGCCAGGGGGGCACAGCCCTGCAGGGAGAGGTGGAGGTAGGGGTGAGGGGACTCTGGTTTTGGGGCAGTTCTCTGGGTTCTAACAGCGTGAAGAGATCATGGCACAGTAGTTCTGCCTTAGAAGCACCTTCAGAAGAAGAGGAGCACCGGTTTGTCAGGGAAGACGCTCATTTCGTGCAAAGCGATGCATTCAGAGTTAGCTGCCTTTCTGAAACAAAAACAGAAAAATACAAAAACTACTGTATGTTACTTTGAAAATGTGAATAGTATTTTTATAGCTTGTTAAAGACACAGCTAGTTGCATTTGTAAATAAGGATAATGTTGCTTTTATTTTCCTTGTGGTCACCATTATTTGGAACATAATCGTCCTTAGGGTTGATTTGTATATAGGTAATTTGCTTGTGATTTACGCGCTCCTTCCCCTTTTCTTTCTTCCCCTCCCACCCTCTGGTTTTGGTTAGAAATACCATTTTTGTCATTCTGTGGGATTCTGTGTTTTAGCACTATTGTGGTGTGTTCAGACTTTCTGCACTTGCTTACACAGTAGGGTATGCCAGTTGTGTGTGGCGTAACGTTACTTTAACCTTTCCTTTCTCATATTTTAGCTGTTGAGGATTACGCACTGTTAAGACACTGACCTGGGTTAATATTAGGTACATATTTTAGCATAATTTCCCTTCTTTTCACGGTTTCTCGTTTGTTTTCTTTCTCTTTTTTCCTTCCCTCCCCTTCTGTCTTGTTTGGAGGCTGGGGAGAAGCCTGCAGACCTTCTCTGTGTGTGGTTATACTTTGCCCCCCCGTGTGCAGTCCCACGTTTCTCCTCATGGCCCTTGGGGTAGAGCTTAATCTGTTCGTTAAGGCAAATGTAGACTGCGACCCACCTTGCATCGACCCGCGCTCATCCCAGCTGAACAATTTGAAAACTGTTCTGCCTTTTTGTTACATGAATCTGTCAGAAATATATTTTTAATTTAATATAAATGAAATTCAATAAAATATGAAACAAAACTCCTCCGTGTGCGCGTGGAGTTTCTTGGCAGGGGGTTGAGCATCCCCAGCAACACGGAGGGGGCTGCTGGGAGGCGGTAAAGGACCCCGAAAGCAGCGCCCCCAAAGGCACGGCCCTATAAAGGGGCACCCCAGCACCGGGCCCGCTGCACGCAGCCCCCCACCGCCGCGTTCGGTGTCCCCAAGAAGGTTTTATTTCCTGGGCAAAAGAAAAATGTTAATCTGGCAGCTATTTTCCAGTGAAACAGTGCTAATTAGAGCCCACTGCCACTCACCTCTGCAAGGCTCAGGTTCGGGTGTGTGAGCTGTACTGAAAAGCGCACCTGAGCTCCTGCAAGCAGCTTCGTGCTGCACTGACAGCTGCAGGGGGGTCAGCCTGCCTGCCATGGAGTAGGTGGGAATTATTCAGGTGCCTGCGTGCGGTTTAGAACATATGAAACAGAACCTAAGAAGTAAAATATAGCATATAAAATATTATAAAATATTTAAGTATTTATAAAATATGATAAAATATGATAAACTATTATAAAATTATACTATGAAATACAAAAGAAAATAACGGAAAATGAATAAAAGAAAGTCTTAAAAATTAAAAGGAAATAAATAAAAATAAAGTGAAAAATAAAAAAATGAAAAATAATAAAAGGAAATAAAAATACTAACGAAAAAGAAAAAGATAAGGAGGAAATAGAAAAGAAAAAAATAAAAAGGAAGTAAAATAATAAAAATGAATTTAAAAAAATGAAAAATAAAATAAAAAAAATTAACAACTAAAAATAAAGACGAAAAATAAAAAGGAAATAAAAATAATGAAAAATAAAAAGTCAATTTAAAAAAGGAAATAATCAAAAATGAAAAAATAAAAATGAATAAATAAATAAAAATAAATGAAGAAATAAAAAATAAAAAGGAAATTAAAAACAATAAAATAATGAAAAGGGAATAAAAATACTAATGAAAAATAAAAAATAAAGAAATACAAAAGAAAAAAATAAAAAATAATAAAAAGAAGTAAAATAATAAAAATGAATTTAAAAGCAAAATGAAAAATGAAATAAAAATAATAAATGAAAAATAAAAAATTAAAAGAAATAAAAATAAATTAAGAAATAAAAATAAAGAAAAATAAAAAGGAAATAAAAATAAAAAATGAAAAATGGAAAAATAAAAACAAAATTAAAAATAAATGAAAAAATAAAAAGAAATAAAAAGGAAATTAAAAACAAAACAATAAAAAGGAAATAAAAATACTAATGAAAAACAAAAAATAAGAAGGAAATAGAAAAGAAAAAAATAAAAAATAATAAAAGAAGTAAAATAATAAAAATGAATTACACAAAATGAAAAACGAAATAAAAATAAATGAAAAATAAAAAATTAAAATAAAAATAAATTAAGAGCAACTAAAAATAAAGACAAAAAATAGAAAGGAAATAAAAATAAAAATGAAAAAAATAAAAAGTAAACAAAAAATGAAAATAAAAATAAAAAATGGAAAAATAAAAAGGGAATAAATAAATAAAAATTTAAAATAAATGAAAAAATAAAAAGAAATAAAAAGGAATTAAATAAATAATGATAAAAATAATTATTAAATAATAATTAGTAAATAATAAAAATAATAAAAGCAATAAAATAATACAAAGTAAATAAAAACAAAAATAAAAACCTAAGAATAAATATGAAAATAAAAGTAAATAGAAATGAAAATAAATTAAAAATAAAAGAAAAATTAAAAATGAAATAAATAAAAATAAAAAAAGTAAAATAAAAAGGAAATAACAAAAAATAGAAATAAATTAACAAAAAATAAACATTTAAAAATTAAAAATAAATAAAAAATAAAAGATAAAATAATAATATAAAATTAAAAAAATAAGTGACATTAAAAAGAAAATAAAACTAAATTTAAAATTAAAAGAATAAAACACTAGATTAAAAACTTTAAAATAAAAATAAATGAAAACGAAATCAATAAAAAATGAACAAATAAGTAAAAAATAAAAGAAAAAAAACAATCTGAATCCTAACTTACTGCTAAGGCCCGCTCCTGCAGACCTCCTGTACCTTGCATGTTCAGCAGCACAGCTGAACAGCCTGCACAGCAGCTTTGTCCCACCAGCCCTGAGCTGCAGCCCCACGCACGGAGCTCAGCAGGCAGAGCTGCTGATTTCTGCACTTGCCTGCATCCCTGCTTTAAGGCCCAGCATCCAGCAGGCAGGGGAATTTGATTCTACTGTTTCAGTAACGGTGGATCAGCCCTAAACTCACCGAGGTCTCTTCTCAGTTTGCAATCATACAACCAAAAGCTACTAAGAAGAGACTATCCCATTTAAAACAAGCAGAAAGCATCAATTAAAACCCATCGGGTGATAATAAACCCAGCCACTCGAGGTGGCTGCATTCACAGCGGCTGAAGGTGTTCCCTTTATCAGTGCTCTGATCGGCTCAGGAAGAATTTTGGAAGTTGCTGCCTGAAGCTTGAAAAGTCAAAAAAAGTGAAGGACAACCAATGAGCTCCCCTTTGGTTGCCATCATCTGCTCCTAATACTTCCTCAACTTCATTTGCCCATCCCACAGCAGATGCAGGCTGTGCAATGCAGCCACTGCTGCAGGCCTCTGCCTGTCCCCACTGACAGCCTCAGCCGCTGGCTCCTGCCAACCTTCCAGGATCCCACCTGGGGACACGGTGGGACACAGTGACCATAGGGGTCTCCAGGAGGCTTAGCGCAGCGCTGGGCTCCAGGATGGGCAATGCATGAGACTCTGGTGTGTACATATGTGTAGGTTTAACAGTGAGGATGCAATGCTGTAACATTTTTTTCATTTGTTCTACAGTTAAAAGTGCAGTGAGCCTTTGTGAGCAGTGCAGAAAGCATGCCTGCCTGCAAAGGCAAGGCCGTCTGGGGAAAGCATGTAAAATAAGCAGCGTGGGTAGAACAAGAGTCCCAGGAGAAGCTTCTGTGGGGAGAGGGGTGGAAAAAGAGGTACCAGGGCAGGAACCGGCTGGGAACAGTGCTGTGAGTGGCTGTGGGTGAGGCCTTACCTGAAAGGTGGATCTGTGGTCCGAGCCCTCCATGCTGGCAATTTGGTACAAAAAAAGCTGCGCTGGAAGCACATCTTCCCCAGTCACTCTCGTGACACAGTAACTAGATGTTGGCCAGCGAAAACGCCAGGAGCATTTTGGATTAAGTCAACCAAAACATTTTATTGAGCCCTTTGAAAATTCAGTGACGTGATTTGAGCGGGGCATAGAGTTGTTTTAGCTCCTGCACAGACATCCCAGGCAGGTTCTGAGGACAGCGGAGCCACTGTGACCGCGTCCCTGCTCCTTCCCTCTTGCCCCTAAGAGGGGATCGACGGTTCTCTCAGTCTGCTCCTTCCTTCAGCAAAACTGAGTTTGAAGGCTTCCCAGAAAGAAGGCCAAGCCACCCAACATCTCAAGCCTTTGCTCCTTACTCAGCAACCACGCAGAAACACAGGCAGATGGAGAACACATGAGATGGGCATCACGACACGACGGGGGTGTGAGAGATTAACCTGAATGGCCCTTCACTTCAGGGGACAGCCAACACTTCCTGGTGCCAAACAGTTGTGCATACTCACCCCGATGTTTCTGTTGTGTACAACACAGTGGCAGTTGCTGGAGGCCACCAGAGTGGCAGCAGAGGTGCCGAGAGCACAAGCAGGTAGCAAGAGGACTGCAGAAGCAAAAGAGGTATTAAACGTGAGTTAAACGTGATAATTTTTCCCAAATATTTGCCAAAAAAACCACTACCAACCAACTACCAAGTGGAGATGTGCAGCAGCCAAGTCTTAGCAGAGCCCAGCTGCTGGCCCCGCACCCTGCTCCTTCCTATCGTGGGCCAGCAGCAAAATGAGTCTAAGGCTGCCTCTGAACCCCCAACCCTTCACATCAAGCTGCTGTGCTGAATCAGGCCCACGGCACTGGGAGGCAACGTTTGGGAAGCAGGAACTGATCGTTTCATTTAGCATAAACGGCCTAAACAGCATAAATTGTTTCAGGCAAGGCTATGTTCATCTCTGTGATAAATCCTCACCTCACCCTCTCCCCTATTTTGTGCTTTTTTTTTTTCTGCCAAGAAAAATCCTTGCTATTATAATGCAAAAGAAGCCTGTATGAATTGCTCCCTGCAAAGCTCAGCCTGCAAACAAGATCGCAGCACCAAGGGAACAAGTCACGGCTCCCTTTCAGGCATCCCCGCAGTAATCTGCTTTTGTCCCCATTATGCAGGACACGTGTTGCAGGGCCCCACGCGAGAGCCCTGTGCAGAGCTGAACAGAGGAATTACAACAAAGGAAACCTTTTGTTCCCATAGAATAGAAACTGTCCTGATTTTTCAGACCTTTCTACCCGAGTGCACTCCTGGCAAGACAGGGAGCAGGACTGGGGAGGGCAGGAGGGCTGTGCTGCACGACAAGCCAGCCGATCTCTTTCACCACATGCCATCTCCTCCGTTTCTCTGCCTCTCTCCTTCAGGTCAACACGGAGCTGGGGAGCACAGCACTGCCACTCCTTCCCCAGCAGCTGAACCACGGCTGAAGGCATCAGGTGCCAAGCCTTGCTGGCACACGGAAGGTGTTCAGACACCTTCCTGTGCACACTCACGGTCCGTGCAGCACTGCAGGAGCTGGGAAACACACGGGCTGGATGCTTTCTTTATATCACTTAATCGGGTGCCCTATGAAGCAGTTTACCGTGATATTTGCATGCCCATTGCTCCTCCTTTGCTATGTATGCACAGCTTTCCCAGGGGTTTTGTTTCCTTTTTCTATTACTTTTTAAGGTAGCAGTTGCCAGGTTTGAGCTTCCCTGTCATTAGCTGCAAGGAATGCCACAGTGGTGGTTTGTTTCAAACAAGAGTTGTGGCACCCCAGAGTCCTGTCAAGCCAAGGAAAATGAACTGCAGTTAATGAATACGTGCTTAATATGGCGTAACACTAAATAGAGACAAATCAGCCTTACCTGAAGGCTACGATTCTATGAAAGGCCGCCCTCTCCACCCGCTTGGTATCGGTGATGGTTTCCATGCAGGAATCAGGAGCCGTGGCAGGAAGCAGGGACCGCAACGCCCGGGAGAACTTGGTGAAGCGGTCGATGCTCCAATAGTTAAGGTAAGTTGTCACTCTCCAAATTGCACAGGGCCCAGAATAGCAGAGGTGGGTACCACTGCGCAGGCGGGCAGCTTCATTTCAGTCAAATATAGAGGAGGAACAACGGAGGATGTTTCCCGTCACATTAGAAATACTCTACAGCTGTTAATAAAGAAAAAAGAGGAGGAGAGGAGATATTTTAGAAGCTATTATTTGAATATTGTACTTTCAAATGGTATCTTGGGACTAATTTTGAGGAATAAGGGTTGGGGCGAGGGTTAGAACCAAAGGGGCTTTGTATTGAAAGTAGGGGGCAGGTAAAAGCTGTCTGAGCCTCTCAGCAAGCCGATGCCAGAGCTGCCAAATACATCCCAACCTCCCGATTTCCAGGCCAGGGTCCTTGCCAAAGAAGCGACAAGCTGCACTGTAGCAGCTTGTACCAGCAGAAACGGCCCTGAAGCCCTGGGGTTGTGCTTGTTGCTTGTCCAGGACATTTCTATACCACTGCTAACAACAGAAACTTCAGATTTCTACCTTTCTCTGAGTGCAGACAGTCCTGGAAACCACCAGACAGCTCTTCTTGTGGCTGCCACCAGCACAGGCTTCACCACGTCTGAAAAACACATCATTGCAAACTCATTTCCTCCCCTGCCTCATTTGTGGCTGGGGCTGCTGCTAAGGGCTAACGGAGGGGCCTCCGAGGACACTGCCACATTCCAGCACAGCTGGAGGCTTTTCTTCAAATACCAGGAGCTGCATTTTTCAAGTCCAGCAGCATACGGGACATGACCACAAATGAGAATTTCTGCAAGGTACAGTGCTCAGTATATTATAGAGGACCTCCAGGGTGAGCTGGAATAAAACCTCTCCTCTGCAGTAGAGCACAAGTGCTCAGACTTGCTTGGTGACAGCAGAGGTCACTGTGGTTGCCCAGGAAGAACGGCCTCTGTGGGGTCCCCAGCCACCTCCTCTGCCCAGACTCACCTTCCAGCTCCATGAGTCCGCAGCACATTCATACTCGCGTTGAGAGGGAAAAACAGCAGGAGGGCAGAGGCCAAAGGAAACCTGCCTGCAAACGGCCCACACCAGCTTGAGGAAGGGATGAAGGGGGGGAGCAGCAGTCCCACGGGGCCGAATTTCCCTGAACCAGCAGCACCGTGTTGCAGGTGTTGGGTTCCCCAACCTTCCCGAGGTCCTCACGCTCACTGCTCACACATAGGATACCTGATAGAAAATCAGGAGCTTTCTGTTCACACCACGCACTGACAGCTTGGTCAGAGCAAGAGGAAACCAACCAGCCCAGTGCCTCCTTGCTATGCTTGTGTTTCCCTCTGTGCCCATGGGGATCCCTCATCCACCACCTCTTTTCTTGTAGGGTGGGTAGAAGATCCCCCTGATCAGATGCTTCCCCAGGGAGGTCAATAAAGAGTCCATCGTAAGAATGGAGCAGGGACAGTCTCCATCCCAAAGTTCATCTGGTCTAAAACTTCTTCTACTGGCTGGAAAGCACCGAGGGAACAGAAAAGAACCGGGTCTGCTGGGAGGCAAAGGACAGCCTATTAAACTCTCCACACACATAAACAGGGACATCAGTAGCAAAAGCCTGTGACATTTCAGTTAGGAAAAAAAAAAACAAAGGCATCTATTTTCCTCTGCGCCCCATACTGCCCAATCTGAAAAAGAGACAGGGATGACTTTTCAACTTAATTAATAATTCAAGACCTGAGGAAGGGGCGAGTTGTGCAGAATCCAGCGTAAGGGAGACTGCAAAGAGACGGATTTGCTGACAACACAGCCCTTAGAAAACAAGCTTCTGCTGTTCCCCTCTGGACACCACGTCTGTTGCCTACGGGGGCAGTCAGTTAAATCCCTTAGGCCGCTTTGGCAAATCCACGCTGGCTGTCGTACGGGCTGCAGACAGGAAAGTAGCAGACTGTTATCTAATGGAAAATATGAGGAAGCTGTAGGAGTCGATGATTTAAAATTGGACAGAATAGGGGTTGTTCTTGCTATATGCCTGTCGTCTTGAACGAAGCAAGTACGATGAGCATACGTGTGTTTCTTGGCTGTTACAGCATTCTTCGTCACATTGTACTCCATTAAAAAGAGTGAAATCGTGTGTCTTTTCTAAGATTTTTGGCAGTATTTCAATTTATTTCCACCAACATCCCTCTATAAATCAGACATTAAATCTTTCCTGTTGCAGAGTAAGCAGAAATGGTGCGAGACTAAGCAGAGTGAAGCATCGCCAATTGGAAGGAAACCTTCAGATCAGAAACTAAATAATAGACCAGATGCTGACTGGCTTCAGCTCCAACCCCTTGCAGGTAGGCATTTATTTTCGGCGTTTTTTCTGACTGTGAGATTCGCAGTAACGACACGTAACTTCTGGCACGTAGCACGTCACCTCTCGTGCAGTTGCGCTGCTGTTACGTAAATCGCTGTTAATAAGACTTGTTAGGCTTTCCCTGCGCTATATATAATATATTATTTTGTTTTTCTAAGATCTGAGAGCGCTGCAAATGCTTCCTGATACGCCCCGCTAGCGGTTCTCAGACTTCTGAGGCAGTCAGGGTTTTGGGCGACCGTGACTCTCTGGTTCTGGGAGGAGTTTTCCGGTGAAGCTAGCTCAGCCCCAGTGAAAACTAACATGCGTGACCCGAAGGAGTATAATCTGTGACATTTCAGAGATTCCAGTCTCTGACCAGTTACCGTTTGGCTGAGAAGGCCAAGCAAAAATAATTTCTGTCGATAAACATAATGGAGAGTCTTGGTGTATGGGAACTGCTGAGTTACGGCCTGAACCTCTGATTGATCACCTGAGGCAAGCCATGAGTCAGCCAGAGGAGAACAGGTGAAGGCAATTCAGCTGTGCTGCCCAAAGGGGTGCAGCCAGGCTCCACCCCTCCTAGACCTATTTAAGAGCTGGCTACCAGAGGGGAAGGATCACTTCTGGAGATTGCCTCTGCTGGTGTTTTGTGGTGAGCCCAGGATAGGGGTAAGTCCTCCATTTATTCTTTTTTGTTATCATAGTCTACTTTGCCTAACTCTCTTGTTTATTTTGTGATTATAACATGCTACTATTCTTTGATTATACAGACGGTAATCACGGGAGGTGGCATTCACAACTTCGGCGATGGCTTAGCAATAGGTAAGCAAAACCAATCAGCGTTTCTCAGCAGTTTCTTACCTTGAGTAACTTGGGTAGTATTTCATAAGCGATCACAGGGCAGATCTCCCTGTCTCCCAAGGCTACCGGCACTGTTAAATCACTGCAGGCATTAAAAGGTCATCAGCTCTGATAATCTCTGCTCTATTGTCTGTTTCCACCGAGATTACTATCTTAATATCAGCGACAGTAGCGATCTCTGTCAAATTGAGATAGGTACAGAGAAAATTCCTTAGGGATTGAGGAGTACCCGAAATACACATGTTGGTGGTTGTTTGGGTGTCAGTATTTACCTTAGAGTAAGAAACAAGAAATTCTTTAGAATTATATTTGCTTAGGATTGTAAATATTTGCAATAATATCATTTTGTTAATAACAGTACGTATGCAGTACTTCTAATTAACGTACTGTGAGTCCAGTTGTTGTGTCATTCCTTCTCCTATGCTGAAGAAGAAGAAGGAAAAAAAAAAAAAGAAAAAAAAAAAACAACTATGCAAAGTAAACAGTGGTGCAGTTTTCCCCTTTTGCCTTTCTGTCTCTGTTTCACATTCTCTTTTTTCAGGTTCTGCTGTTTGGTTGAGCTAGGTAATTAAATAATGTACACAGCGTTAATGCCCACCAGGGTACTTCCGGTGCAATCAAAAAGTATCAGCACGCGTGTTTTAAGAAAAGGTGGTGAGTCTGTTGATGAAACTTGCTGATTAGAGAACAGTAACTGTCTGGGAACTGCTGAATCACAGCCTGAGCCTCCTACTGATCCCCTGAGGAGAGCAATGAGTCAGCCAAAGGAGCACAGGTGAAGGCAATTCACCAGTGGAGCCTGGCTCCACCTCTCCTAGACCTATTTAAGAGCTGACTACCAGCAGGGAAGGATCTCTTCTGAAGATCTCCTTCCCTGGAGTTTCATAGCAAGCCCAGGATACAGGTAAGCGTTCTATCTATTCTCTTTTGGTGTATAATAGCTGCTTAGCCAAATGCTGTGATATATTTCATAATTACAACATCTGTACATTCATTGATTATACAGTAACATAGGATTTGTATCTTTTCTTTCTTTATTCTTTCAGGAGCAGCTTTTAGTGCTGGTCTGACAGGAGGAATTAGTACATATATAGCAGCATTTTGTCACAAGCTGCCCCATGAATTAGGTAATGAATTTTATAAAACCAGCACTTCCTACAAAAGACCGAATAAATGCATGTGTGTGTAAGTTCTGTCGTGATACTCCTCCCAATAGCTAGTAGATAGCTGCAGTTGCAGTTTTTTCTCGAGAGCTAGCTTATCATGTCGAAACCTGTGCTTGTCTCGCAGAGGCAAATGGCTGCATAGTAGAGAATAACTCCTCGTGCAGATATAGATGTCTTGCAATAGCCTATAGTTACTGGATACCAGCTACTTTCCTGTAAGTTCTGTGCTCATGTTTTTTTTTTTGTTTTTTTTTTCCTTGATGTACTTTGACTGAAGAATGTATAAAGGAAGGCAACGTTTTTATTCTGCAGTATTTTTACTCTTGGTCCTTTTTCTTAGGCACGCTAGCGTTCAATATAGTTTGACTCTAAACAAGAGCAGGAGCGCCTCTGCGAGATACACCTGAAACAGCACCAAGTTCGTGTTCTTACGACACCTTAATCTGCTTTCCTCTCTAAGGCCCTGCTTTCTGACACCTAACAGGAACGGTAATTAATTGTTTTGTAGGTCAGCTGAAGTCTACTAAGGGGTGACTGACCTTCCGGTATTCCTGCGTATGATGGAAGTTCATCTAATTAGGTATATTTTTCTGTTTCTAAAATGTAGTTTTCTCTTAGTTGAGAGGAGGTAGAACCTGAACTCAACTCAGGGAATCTTCAATCCTTAAGGCTCTCCATGACCTTCTGCTGTCACTTACGTCAAGATGCCTTGAATTCTATTCTTACTGTAAAATTATATGTATTTTATACTTTATATTATGTATTTTTGAATGGATTTTATATATACACATAATTTATAATACATAATATATAGTTATGTAACATATTATAAAAAAAGTCGTATTCCTTGTTTCCCACATCTCTGCAAGAAACCATAAATTCTCAACTGCAAGACGTGTTTGTATTGACAGGACTAGCCTTAATGCCCAGACACTGGAATAGGTCCTATTGAGAGCCTATAAATTGAGAAGTTCAGTAGTCTGTAGCAGAGATGAGCAATTTACATACTGGTGTGTGTATTTTTTACGTTTAAATTTTTGTTAGATCAAATTGTGAGTTTATGCATCTTTGTGAAATACGGTAAGGCAAGAGCAAACAGGCAATAAATGAATCATTTTAGCTGATCTGATGGTCTGGTAATTTGTTTATGTTTGTACCGTATTCAGATACTTGGAATAGCCAGAACAGTTATAGTCTATTTTAAAAAGAGCTACAATAAAGGCTTTTGCTCTCTACTGACTGAAGTTTATGTTTGATCTAGGTAATGTTTCATTTTACTCTCAAAATGGTTTACAAATAAATGAAGTGACAAAAACATACGGTAAACAAAGGAAATGCTTTAAGTTACCTTAGTCTTGCCTGGTGGTCCTGTAAGGTGTTTTGGAAGATTTATTTTTACGTCTTCCACGTCTGCGTTTACTTAGCGCTTTTGTCAGTACTATTTGATGTTTTCCTTGCAGTTGAGAAACAGGCACAGCTTTCAGAACTTTCTATAGATGTCTGTGAAATTCTTCGTGAATTACCTGTGGCGTGCACGATGAACCTCACTATTCCCAGACCTGTGTGAATACACGTAACGCATACAACAAGACAAAGGGCTGAGTTAACGGACCGAGTCTATAAAGCCACGTGGCTACCTTTAATTGAGTAAACAAACTTGAAAGAGCAGACTGAGAGAATACTGGACTGGCCCCTGATATTGGAAGTTCAGCTAGATGCCTGATCCAGGAAGAGCCGTGGGAGCGCCTGGTGCAGAAGAGTTTTCATTGGCCTAGTAAATACAGGATGCGTTTGAGACCGTTTTTCTTAAATACAGTAATTGGGTATACTTTCAAGTATGTATTAGTGGCTTGTTTTTGTAACTAAAACCTCAATTGCTTATTCTTCATCCATTAATATCATCTTGTAAAACTGTCAGTGATTAAATAGAATAGATGTGAAGTAACTTCATTTTAATTGCTTTTCTTTTTAGCTTCAAGAAATGCTTCATGGAGACGGAGATAAGAGCACGGTTATTGTCAGGTGGGGTGGTTTATTATGCAGAACCTAGGCCTGCTTCTTGGATTTGCCATCATGCTGGTGATGAAATTGTGCTTAACATCCAGTTTTGACCGTATTCCAGGTTTCGCTGTGGATACTATGTTATTACTGTACGACTTGGAGTCTGCACTGTTTCACTGTATGCACATAGCTTAGAGGAGAAGCAGCAGCTTGCACTGCTTAGGCAAGTACCTCCAATTCATTTCTGTGTGTATAATCTGCTGCATTTTTCCGATTCAAATCAGATGAGATGGCCCGAAAGCGTCTTCCAAACTCCACTGAGTGGCAATTGGGAAATAGTAAATTCCAGAAATAAATGCTAAGTTCAGTGTGCTGCTTGCTTATATAAAAAAAGACAGCAAAGGATGGACATGCTTAGGAAAAAAGCATTTCTTACATGGTTTACCAGAACCCAGAAAATTTTACAGCTGAAAATCGTACCTATAAAAGGAACCTGAGTATGCTTTCAGTACCACGTAAGTCTTAAGCAGCAGGCATATATACATATAGATGTATATACGTATACACACATATATATATTTATACATGTATCTTCTTCTATCTGTGTGTATGTAGGTGATTGCGTGAGTAGCGCTGGTTCCTCTGCAAAGTGGTGACCTGAAGTATTAAATCAAAATGAAAGCAGATAAGAGGAAACCGCTGTGCAGCCTTAAATGTTAGGAAAAAGACAAGGCCAAAACAGTAAGCTGCACTCCCTCATTTTAACTTCAAGTGTAAGAAGGCAGGCCATTGCAATATACGCCGCAAAGTGCTACGATGTCCTGTAGAGGATCACTTTGATGGTGTTTTCTTGACTAAAATTGGTTTGGTGTTTGTTCTTAGATATAGTAGGAAAATGCAATTGGGATGTTTTCTCCTAGGTTGAAGTACAACAAACATGCTAGTTAATGAATGAGGGCACAAAGGCTAAAATACGCCACGTGCATGTAAGGTTACTTACTCTGTTTCAATAGTGCCTCAATATCAGTTGTAGCGGCACCAACAGTTTCTGTGGTTGAGGCTAAGAAGATTTCTACTTCCAGTGTAAATTAGTTTGTTCATATCTGTTTTTGTGTGTTTTTTTTTTTTTTTTTTAAATGATTTTGGTTTTTTTTTTGTTTTTTTTTTTTTTTTAATTAAAAAGCAAATGACCTAATTTGTAAGGATAGACTGACAGTTCTTGGCTTTGACATGCTGGGAGCATGTCCCATCTCAGATTTTGCTGAGATGGTTATTCTGCCACACAGGAGCGAGTTCTTCTTGTACTGTTATGTCATTAAGGAAAAATACGCTGAGTTGCTGAGGAGCACAAGTCGATTCTGTAGTTCCACTCGTAATCATGGAAGTAGGCTTAAGGGTCAGTTTGAAATAATAACGCCGTTTCTTTGGTGAAGAAGCCGAAACACAGAGTTGAGACACACGGCCACTTGATGCTGAGAACTCATCAGCTCATTAGTTTTCCTCTCCAAAAACATTTACTGTCGGACCCAGATTAGCAAGTGTTACAAGCTTTGGTTTGCTAAATTTGTGCAGCACTAAGTGCCTAGGTGACACATATTTACTCGGTGCTCACAGTACATCCCTGAGTACCATTTTCTAAGGGACTTAAGTCATGGGATAATTACTGAGGATCTTAGCTTCGATAACTTATGTTGCCTGTTTACCAAACTGATGCTTAATTGTAATTTTTTCTCAACTCTGTCAAGTGTAAAGAGGCCTTGTGGTCTAACCAAAGTTTTGGTCAATTTAGTAAGTTTATTTCTTTTAATACATTTCAAATGAAAAATTGTTTATTTCAGGTAGCATTTTTCCTTTGTTATTGGTTAGAGTATGGTTTTAGCTTAATACGCTGCCAGCATAGGAAAATAGTCACCTTCCTTTCGAGACAGATTTCAGACAAGGGAAAACACCATCCGTCAAGGCAGGTAGTGGATTTTTTTCATTAAATACATGTGTTGTTTGTCTTTCATTTTGTATTTATTTATTGCAACTTTGTAATAAATAAATACTTTTGTAACATATTTATTACAACTTACGAAGGCCAGTGTGACACCTGTGACTTTGTCTGTAGGTTTTCCACTGATACTGAAATTCAGATTATTCTCAGGTACACCTATAAGTCACGTTACAGACAATCTGAATTCCACTACATTTCTGCTCGGTTTGTACATTCCACTCTGCCAAATCCAGAGTCTTAGCTAACTTTTATTTGTTGGAGGGCGTGTTATTTGTATATTAAAATGCTGTCACAGTGTGACATCCCATATGAATTTTGATGTAGATCACATTGCACTCAATCTGCTGTGATTATGCCTAGGAATACTGTTGGTGCTAAACTCAGTGTGATTATTATTATTATTATTATTTTTTTAATAAAAAAATCCTCTCCTGTCAACAGTTGAGTCTATGGTTTCTAATGTGATTATGATCCTATAAGATACAGCCGAGCTATCGGTCTTTTTGTTATCATTATTACTTTTTCAATTTTATAAAGCTGGAAAAGATCAAATGCAGGAGCAGATGCTCTTTCTGGCTTTCATGAGGTTTTAATGCGCAATCCTGTATTTTATACATCACGAATTGCAACGTGCAAAATGGTTTTTGCTTTTTCATGAGTACTTTTATATGTATGTTGACTTACCTTTTGATATTACAGCCATTCAGGACCAACATGTGTTCCTCATGGGTGATCTAGCAAAGGAACCCTAAGTAGTTGCAGTAGGTTTGTGAATTAAGCTGACAAAATAACGTTTGATCCAGTGTTCCTGCGGTTTGTTGGAAGGAAGGGTCCTCGCAGTGACAAAGTTGGTGGAATGGTCAGTGGTTGACAGGATTCCTCTTCGCTCACTGGTCTTGTACACTGGAGCCAGGTAACCGCATCATTGCGGAATGTCTGCTTTCTTACAGGGCTTTAACCATATCTGCAGCAAAGAATAATAATCCTTTTCACATTGTCTTTTCAAAAAAAGAAAAAAGGGGGGGGGAGGGGAGAAATGGAAGGGTGAGAAACATTCTTGGTTAGGCCTAAGTATTTTTGAGAGAGGTGTTTGTTTTTTGGCAGATGAGCCTGAAAACCTGCTTCTTGCTCAATCTTGTCTTAGCAGATGGCTTCCTTGAACAAAATCGGCAACACCAAATGTACCGTTGTTAATTATAGTTGCTTGTCATGGTTTTATGGTTTTTGTTTATTTGGGTTTCAGTATTCCACATCAAAACATCAGGTAGTGTATGGCGCATTAAAGCGTTAATGCCCCAATTGCAGGTACCTATCCATGTACATCACAGAAGTCACAGGGTCTAGCCCTTCTGGGTGGGGGGCGAGATCTTACTGCCTTGCGGTGGGTGCTGGAGGTGCTTTCCTATTCGTTTCAAGCTTTTCAGGTTTGACTCGGTCCCGAGAACTCACTCACACATTTTGTCTGATTTAATAGTCTCAATTGCAATTAAACTGTATTATATTGTGTTATCTTGTATTCTGATATAGTAGAATAAGGTTTCCTTCATAGATTGTTGCTGCTGTTCTTTCCCTTCCTTCCTTCATTCAATGCTACTAACTTTTAAGGGAGCAACAGGGTAACTCTAAGGTAGCCACTTAGGCATTCAATCCACAGGATTTGTTCACACACAATACTATAGGAATGTTACAAATTGTAATACTCTCCACAGGCACCATATTGTAGAGGGTTTTTGGAAGATAATCTCCTAGCTTTTTAGTTTCTCTGTTCCACTGTGCTCCATCCAAGAACAGTCCCTGGATGTAGACCTAAATCGGATGCATAACAGAACACGTTACAGGAAGGCTGGAAGGGTTTTCTAACTGAAAGCAGCAGCCAGGGCAGCAGGCTTTGCTGTCAGCTGATTGACTGTGTGGGCCTCAGTCAACTTGAGTGTTTGAAATGGACAACGGAATACTTACTTTTAACACAACCTTTCTTACACAAAGTTAAAACGTTACATAATTACGATTTCTAAAAGCATTAGGAAGTTTTGGCGTCTAGCAGTAGCGCAGCATGTCTGGTCTTGAACAAAAATTAAGGCAGTTTTAAAATTCAAAGTTAAAATACAGGACATCATTTTCACACAGGTCAGCATAAGCTCCTGCCCATATAATGTGTATTACAAACTTACATTGTTGTGTTTTTTTTTTAAAGGAGATGTGATGGGATTCCAGAGAGCCTTTCAGTAGGTCAACGTGGTTGTTTCAAAATCTAACTCACTTAAAACTTCAGGTGAAGGTGGGGTTGGTTTGGGTGGTTAGTTAGCTTCTTAACAATAATTTTAAATAGAATAAAGTAATAAGTAATACATATATGTAAACTTGAATATGAATTACCATAATATAAAAATAAATTAAAAAGAAAAAATAAAAAATGACAAAAAACAATTCAGAAAACATGATGAAAAGATAAAACGCAGGGGGTGATGTTTTCCTAGGCACATATACGGCACCCAGACCAAGGGATGCGCTTGAAAGTAATAAAAACAACATGATTATTTTCCCTACCTCTTAAGCATTGGGGTAACAAACTCTTCAATTGACTGCTTCTTTAATCTGAAGCCAGGAGACAGAACAAGTAGATCATAAAAAAGTAGTTCTCTAATGCTCAGAGTAGTCATCTCCACAACGTGCTATACTAGAGGTAGAAAAGCAACTGCAAGCAACAGCACCTCACTTCGCTGTTAGTGGTTTAGGAAAATAAGCAGTACAACAGGAAAAAATAATGGCAAACTGAAAAATATAGAAAGTATTATTAGCAGAGTGAAGCGGGAGGGTAAGACCTACACTTACAAATGAGGAGAATAAAATAAGGAAAAGAATGAGGGAAAAACTGGAAATAAAGGAGGACAAGTAAATAATGCGTGGAAGTATTATTTGCACAGGGATGGGGGG